TTAAAACTGGCCAGGTTCCACATTAAGAACATAAGAACGGCCGTACTGGGGCAGACCAAAGGTCCATCTAGCCCAGTATCCTGTCTACCGACAGTGGCCAGCACCAGGTGCCCCAGAGAGGCAATGATCAAGCGATTTGTCTCCTGCCATCCCTCTCCAGCCTCTGACAAACAGAGGCCAAGGACACCATTTTATCCCCTGGCTAATAGCTTTTTATGGACCTATCCTCCATGAATTTATCCAGCTTCTCTTTAAACTCTATTATAGTCCTAGTCTTCACAGCCTCCTCTGGCAAGGAGTTCCACAGGTTGACTACACGCTGTGTGAAGAAGAACTTTCTTTTATTAGTTAAACCTGCTACCCATTAATTTCATTTGGTGTCCTCTAGTTCTTCTATTTAGGGAACTAATAAATAATTTTTCTTTATCAGCCCTCTCCACATCACTCATGATTTTATAGACCTCTATCATATCCCCCCTCAGTCTCCTCTTTTCTAAACTGAAAAGTCCCAGTCGCTTTAACCTCTCCTCATATGGGACCCGTTCCAAACCCCTAATCATTTTAGTTGCCCTTTTCTGAACCCTTTCCAAGGCCAAAATATCTTTTTTGAGGTGAGGAGACTAGCTTAGGGCTAGTGCCTGGCAGGCTGTTATCGTTATATTTACCTGCATGGCTGTAGGTACCGGTAATCACGATCCTGTTGGCTGTGGATCACCATTTCCTGGCCAGCAGGATGTGGCGCAGAGCGGGACACCACTTCCTGCCGCTCCCATTGGTCGAGAACAGTGATCTGGGGCCAATGGCAGCTGTGATTGCCAGTACCTATGGATGTGTAGGTAAATAAGTGGGGACCTGCCTGGAGCTAATCCTGGTGGGCTGGATCTGGTCTGTGGGCGGTATTTGACTATCTATGACCTAGCAGATACTGTGGTTGGGACAAATTAAACTGGAGTGATCTCCATGACAATTCTTATCATTTTTTTCCCCTCTCACTACGGCAGGGTGTGTAGTACATGAATTGCATAAAAGTATTGTACTAGTATCAGGGTCATTGATAACTATGGGCCAGATTCTATAATCCTGCCTCATGTTAAGCAATATTAACTCACAGAAGGACTCCCATCAAAGTCAGAGGGAGGGTTATGAATCAGGCTTGCTATAGAACACACTTAGTACATGCACTAGTATGTGAAATGTCAGCAAAAATCAATTTGTGCTTGCCTAGCCTGGGCAGTAATTCTTTATCCCTGTACAAATACTTTAAACAAGCATATTGACAGTCTGTGCTTCTTAGTTTCTTAAATTGTCACTTTTTGGAAGGTCTCACACTAACACAGATGATTCTCATTTTAATGGCATTCAGAACTGCATTCAGTGCATATACTCTAAAGACCAAAAGTATTGTTCTGTAACTACAAAACTGTTTCATGCAGAGAAGTCTCTGGCTGCCTTAGAGTTTTCTAGTGTGACTCTGACTGTCGCATCTAACCGCTAATCTCTAAGGGTATGTCTACACTACCACCCTAGTTCAAACTAGGGTGGTAATGTAGTCAACCGGAGTTGCAAATGAAGCCTGGGATTTGAATTTCCCGGGCTTCATTTGCATGTTGCCGGGCGCCGCCATTTTTAAATGTCTGCTAGCTCGGACTCCGTGCCCCGCGGCTACACGCGGCACGAACTAGGTAGTTCGGACTAGGCTTCCTATTCCGAACTACTGTTACTCCTCATTCTACGGGCTTCATTTGCAACTCCGGTTGACTACATTACCACCCTAGTTCGAACTAGGGTGGTAGTGTAGTCATACCCCATGGGTATGTCTACACTACAGCACTAATTCGAACTAAATTAATTCAAATTAGTTAATTCGAACTAAGCTAATTCGAACTAGTGCATCTAGACCTAAAAACTAGTTCGAATTAGCGTTTTGCTAATTCGAACTAGCATGTCCACATTGAGTGGACCCTGAACCGAGGTTAAGG